TAGAGTATATTCCTTGTAGATAAAAGCATACATTTATGTATTTCTGACTTTTAATGGGCTTATTTCTTGTCTTTGTTTGCATCTGCATACAGAATCTTGGCCACGGTGGGTTCAGACTTTGACCTGAGAACGCTACGAGCGGTGAGAGTGCTGAGACCCCTGAAGCTGGTGTCAGGAATCCCCAGTAAGTTTATATAGGTAGCGTTTTAGATCAGTAAAGCTGAACTTTCAAGATTAAAGTCTATTTTGTGAAAACAGTCAAAATGTGATGCCAACCGTGGCAGTTTGTCTTGATACAACAACTGTAATCTCAACATTTAAACTTTTTTCCCAAAATAGATATTTCACTTTGACCTAGAAATTTCGATTTTAATCTCAAAATTATCAATAATATATATTTTTTTCTTAATGTGGGCCTAATACTCTGCTGTAGCCATTACATTTAGAAGTAGAGAATGATAGATGAAGTTAACGATAAATACAACTTGAAAAAACATAATGGTTAGCCCAAGATGAATAGTTAAAATTGGTCACTTATTATAATAAGTGACCAATGTGACACGATGGCGCCACAGTAGGCAGCCTGTTTCCTCAGCTCCCAGCTTTTTTCTTTCCTTTCTTTTTTTTCCTTGTGTTTTAAGCTTTTTTACCCGACACTCTTGGTCATCTTTTATTTGTTGTGCAACGGGACATGGACCCACAAATTTTCATGAGAGTAGTAGCATGTCTTCTACTCTTTTTGGGACTTTTTACCACCATTTCTGAAGAATCTGTAAGCCACCCCATTGTTTACAGTAGGGAACAGCTACTAGCACTGGGCAACAGGATAGTACTCCCGGAGGAGCGACCCAAGATTCCAAGGAATTACGGCGTCGGAGGAGGGCAGGGCTGGAGTGAAGTACTGGGAAATAAGGAGACGGTACAAACCAAGCATTCCATCCATTCTCATGGGTAATTTAAGATCTTTACCCAACAAGATGGAAGACCTAATTGCGCTAACCAGACTGCAGTGGGAGTACAAGCAGAGCAGCCTCCTCCTGTTCACTGAGACATGGCTCATGGACCACACGCCGGACTCTGTCATAACTCTGGATGGCTTTCAACTGGTTAGAGCGGACCGGAATGCAATGGAGAGTGGTAAGAGGAGAGGTGGGGCACTAGCAATGTACGTCAACGAGAGATGGTGTAACCCAGGACACATCACTGTGAAGGAACAGCGCTGTACCAAAGACATTGAACTATTGGCGGTTAGCGTCCGGCCATACCACCTGGCCAGGGAATTTTCACACGTTATTGTGCTGACTGTTTACATCCCACCCTCGGCCGACGCTACAGCAGCCTGTGAGTACATTCACTCCACCGTCTCTCAGCTACGGATGGCACATCTGCAGTCCCTCATTATTATCTCTGGGGACTTCAATCATGCCTCAATATCTGTCACATTGACTGCCATACAAGGGACAGCAAAACCCTGGATCTATTGTTTGCCAAAACAAAGCAGGCTTACAGCGCATCACCCCTCCCCCCGCTTGGCCACTCAGACCACAACCTGGTCATTCTCTACCCCACTTACACTCCTATGGTGAAAAGGAAACCCCCCACAAAGAAGGTGATAAGGGTGTGGTCTGAGGAATGCACTGAGGCCCTAAGAGACTGTTTTGAATGCACAGACTGGCAGGAACTCTGCAAGCCTCACGATGAGGACATCGACGCCCTCACCCACTGCATCACGGACTACATTAATTTCTGTGTTGAGAACACTGTGCCTACCAAGAAGGTACAGTGTTTGCCATTGTCACCTGAGCTCTCCTCTCACCACAACCCTGCTTCACCCCTGTCCACACATCTACCCACAACAGAGCCAGCCCCACCCCCCACTCCAGCCCAGCCTCACATCTACTTCACAGCTGATTAGGTGAGTAGTCAGCTCAAGAGGATGAAGGCAAGGAAGGCAGCAGGTCTGGATGGAATCTGCTCCAGACTGCTCAGGGACTGTGCAGACCAGCTCTGTCAGGTGGCCCTGTACATCTTCAACCTGAGCCTGGAGAGGGTTCCTGAACTGTGGAAGACTTCCTGTGTGGTTCTGGTGCCAAAAATCGCACACCCCAAGAAGCCCAACCACTTCAGGCCTGTTGCGTTGACTTCTCATCTGATGAAGACAATGGAAAGGCTTATCCTGCACCACCTTCAGCCACTGGTGGACTCAGCGATGGACCCCCTGCAGATCGCCTACTGTTCTGGAATTGGGGTGGAAGACGCTGTCATCTACCTGTTACACCGATCCCTCACCTAGAGCAGGTGGGGAGCACTGTGAGGATCATGTTTTTTGACTTCTCCAGTGCTTTCAACACCATCCAACCTGCACTACTGAGAGGGAAGCTGGAGGGAGCCGGAGTAGGAAAACAGCTGACTGCATGGACCATCGACTACCTTACCGACAGACCACAGAATGTGAGGCTCCATGACTGTGTGTCTGAGGTGGTAATCTGCAGCACGGGGGCACCACAGGGCACGATTCTCTCACCTTTCCTGTTCAGCCTTTACACTTCAGACTTCTGTTATAATTCGGACGATTGCCATCTACAGAAGTTCTCAGATGATACAGCCATCATTGGATGGGTATCATAGCTTAACATAACTATTTTTATGTTAAGCTATATAGTTTACGTCTTGCGTAGTTCCACAACCATATCCATAATCACATACTCTGCATGCTACCATTGTATATAGTGTATTATCTTACTTTTTTTCATTGGTTGTACTTATTTGTATTTTTGTATTTCCTTCTGATATCTGTACCTGAGCTGAGGTAACGCAAAAATTTCCCCGTCGTGGGATCAATAAAGTCTTGTCTTGTCTTGTCTTGTCTTGTCTTATCTTATCTTAAATAAACACATGTTAAATTAAGTAGTAGCTAAATGTAGTGAACGAATGGGTAACATAAAGCAAGATAGCAGTTAATTAAAAGCAATGTGATAAATGTAATGCAACCAGTAAATGCAAATGCTAAAGCAGCCGAGATCCAGTTCTTCTTGGAAAGTTGGCTTAGTTCCTGACCATTTTCTTCTTACGAATACTTAATTTTCCAAGCAAAAGCAATTGTATGACATACAGCATGTTGCTTTTATTCAAATTTATATTTAATTTATTTATACATTTTATCATAAATACTTATTTTACCAACTGCAAGTAGGTTATTTTGTCATTATTTGTCAGTTTTAACTGTGACTGTAACTTTGTTACACACGTCTATGCGCCTCCCTAATTTGTAATAAAATTGAATTTATTATGTATGTGTTTTCATAGCAGACACAAGCATACGTATCTGTATGTGCTTTAGTTTTTTGATATTCATGAAGTTTTCACTTTGCCTTTTAAGTTTTAAAATTCCAAGAAATTGGCAAATCCCTGCCTATAATCATTCTCCTCCTCTCCTCTTGTCTCTTAGGCCTCCAGGTGGTGTTGAAGTCTATAATGAAAGCCATGGTTCCACTTCTTCAGATTGGCTTGCTGCTGTTCTTCGCCATTGTTATGTTTGCCATCATTGGGGTGGAGTTTTACATGGGCAAATTCCACACCACCTGCTTCAAGAACGGCACTGGTGAGAGTGACAGCTTGTCTGTGGCGCATTTGTAGGACAACACTGCCTGATCAGCTTAGCTGCTGGAGCATTTTTTTTCTTTTGTCTGTGTCCATGTATTTGTTAAATACGAGAACATATAATGCATTATTAAAGTAGGCATGCATAAATGATTATGTTGTATATGTACTCCTGCCACATGAATAGCTGCACGTTCACAGCGCTTGGAGGCAGTATGATAAACATCAATGTAGCAAACAAACACACAGCACAGTTTTTGTCAGCTATTTTTCAAATCCTGATATTGATAGATGGCATTTTCACTGTCTTCAAGTTGTGATTGATAGCTTTTGTAGTAACCCAATAGAGATATTTTAGCATTGGGCCTCTCGATCGAATGGAAACTCAGATGGGGTTAATGAGGTTGTTACTGCTTTCACCTTTCTCCTGCATCAGAAGTTTATTCTAGTGAGAAAAGCTTTTGCATTACATTTTTAAAGGTTTTATCTCAACAGATTTAATAATAATAATGGAATTTACCAATAGAAGCTGCAGCATGTCAGAATAAGAGCATTTTACCTTTCAGGAGGCCTTTGAATACCATTGATTTTTGTATGAAACTCAGATCTTGAAAAAACAAATGTGTGATCAATCACAATGGGCATGAGGTCAGTGCTTTGTTTTTGTTTTGTTTTTTGTTTTTCTGAAAGACCTGTATAGTAAAGCAGTTAACGTGGAGGTATATTTCATCTCCAAACTTCAAATAGCTTCATTACCTTTTAAAAGAAATTATAACGCTGTAAAATAATTAATTTTATCAGTTAATTGTTTCAGAGGATGTTCCCTAAGGAAAATGAATAGCTTTTATGGTGGTGCACTATCACACAGTTCCTGTTAATAGGTAGTAAAAGTTTCTCTCTTTTTTTTAAAGTAACTGTCCTTAAATTAACTGAACATTTGTAGAATTAAATTAAAGATAGACGTACAATTATATAAATATGGAGATTAAAGTTTCCACCAATAAATTACTTCAGTTTTACCACTTGTGAGAATTCAGAGCATAACCTATTACATTCATTCCTAGTTTTTATATTTTCATTCTAGTAGAGTGGCTTTCATCATAATCCTCTTTTATGTCATACTGGGCCTTGCTGCAGTGCCTTCTGAGACCAAACTGTCTAAGACCAAAGCGCAAACTCTGGAGCTGAAAAATGAAACCGATGCTGAAATACCAAAAACTGCAGTTCTTCTAATGGCCACTTGAGGCAGACTCCAAACAGGAGTCATGTTAAAATGCTGTTAGTACCTAGGCTGTCTACCTTTAGAACAGGAACAAAAACAGAAGCTCTATTAATATTTTTCCACTATAAAGGAGCTATTTTTTGGAGGAGTTTGACTTGTGTACTTTTTTGTTCTGAATGTTTGCAACCCACAAACAGAAGGTTTTAACAACAGGTGACTTACTTTTACATATGCTGAGCAGGTATGATGTCTCATGGATGCTCCTTGATGTATATATATATATGTATACGCGCACACACACACACACACACACACACACACACACACAC